CGGGAAAAGAAATTAGAGAAACATCACAGGCGCAGGGCGACACTGTCATTACCTGGTCGGACCTCAAGAGCAAGGGGGAGAGGGAAAAAGGGAACTGAAGGGCGCCGGCCACTGACTGGGAGAGCTGGCAGAGGCTCTTTGCTTCTACAGGGATTTAGGTCACCGGTACAGAGCGGCGAGTACCCTGCAGGCTTGTGGAGATGCACCGTGAAGCCTCAGGGAAGCCCAGGCTGGGAGACCCCCTCCAGCCTTCTTCTCGGACCTAAGTCACAGCAGAGGGAGCACAGAAGTGGCCAGGAGAGAATAACGTAGGCACAGAGAGGAGGGAAGGAGGAACCCACAGTTAAGGAGCTAGAAGGAGACAGGTTGAACATAGAAATTATCAAGAGTTAGTTGATATCTTTGCTCCATCGCCCTTTAACTTGCTTGGAACGCGATGCCATCCTGACACATAGCTGGCCCGATAAGGTCACCAGTGACCTTTGGGCTCGCGTGCCTGGGTGTTCTGTCTCTACTTCACTGGAAGAGAATTCACTGTTACTGAGGAAGACGTTTGACAGGATTTCTGCCATGCAACTTGGTTTATACGCTGGCTAATGTTCGAGGTTTATATTACTATTATTATTAGCAGAGGACAGCTCTTCGTCTTGAGGCTTCCGGACCCCAATAATCGTATTGACGTCTTCCTGGCTCTCTCACTCACTCGACAAAAGTCACACCGAGGCTGCTGTGCCTGTCGGCGTTTTGGGTGGGGGATTGTGCATTTTCTCTCATGCACGCTACTAGGGATCACATTGTGCTGTGCGTGTGGAGGTGGAAATAACTGTACAGGAAACACGTACTATAGACCTCAGCCATGGCTGCCTTGGGAGAGGGTGTGGTGCAACCGGAGAGACAGAAGTAGCCACAGCTTAGATGGTCAGGATGGCAATGGGTCAGACAGCAAAGCAGGGCCGGCTTCGTGGCAGGTCTACTTACCCAGGACCCATCCCGAGCGAATGTCCTGCTGGTGCAGCTTGAAATTGTTAATCCTTTAAGAACAGGGAGCTCTGCATTTATATTTTGCAGTGGGCCCTGCAAATTGTGCTGTGGTCCCAGTTATAACAGAAAAGGCCAGTGGGTCTCTCCTGGAAACCATGTTTGAAGTGGCCCTTTAAGTCAAAGCAAGCCAGGACTGCAGGATGCGGACCCCTGGGCTCCCCGGACAGTCGCTCACGGAGGTCAGCCTGGGGAGGGCCAGGGCTCGCCAGACGGCGTGGGGGCTCTACCTCTGAGGCCGGCGCCTGGCAACAGCTGCTCACCCTGCGTGGCTGAAGAATTTAGCTGCAGAAATCTAATTTGGAACTCCCTAATGAAGCTAATGAAGTCAGATCATTTTAATCTGTTCTTGGTCCAGTCTTAGGTCTAATCCCAGAATAAATAGATCATTGACTTCGTGGCATATGTGTCCTTTTTGTGTGACATATGAGCCAGGCAACATCTTTATATCTTTTTTTTTTTTTACTTTGGAAAGGAACTGATTTCCCTTAGCTTCATTGACTATTTGAGATGAATCAAAATGATAGTAAAATAATTCAGATTTTAAATCAATCAATCATCCTCCCATTTTAAAACCTTTTACTGACTACTCTAAATAAGTTGTGTCCAAATCGTTCTTTAGTCTTGAAAGATCCTAGTTAATGCTCAATTTTTTCTTGTTTTAAAGAACACTTATGAATAATGAATGCCACCATACACAGATGTCTCCTGAAATAGGCTGAGCTTGGCGAGACAGAAAACAAGCCATTTCTCTCCTTTGGCCTTGAATTCTATAAACTCAGAAAATTCACTAATTAACCTTTAAACTATATCAAATTATTTCCTTGAGACACATACATCTTCATAATGGTGAGAGAGAGAGCCTATAAAATCCAGAGACTAAGGGATCATTCTGTTTAATCATCCATCTTCCTGCCAATCAAGATTGTTCTTTATAAAATATTTCCACCTTCTTATCACATAACTGAGATGAAATGATTTTTTTTCCCTTTGAAGTTTATTGGTTCATTTACTGAACTTTCTAAATATTAATCCAATTAGCAGGCTGTTCTCAATTGGTGCTTATTTCTCTTTACAGGGCTTTGTTCTCCACCCATGTAATTTAATTTCTGAACATTAGAAAATACAAGAACCATTTAAACATAGCCCAGTCACTAATACTAATAATAGTAACAATAATAATAATAGGTAATATTGATTGAATACTTACTATGTGTGTGTCAGGCACTATGCTGAATGCTTTGTATCTATCATCATTTCATTCTCCCAGTTACAAGTGATAGTGACTCTCACTATTAGAAATGGAGAAATCGCCCTGGCCAGTGTGGATCAGTTGGTTGCGCATCATGCCATGTAACAGAAGTTTGCTGGTTTAATTCCCAGTCAGGGCACATGCCTAGGTTGCAGGCTTGATCCCCAGGAGGTGGTGTGCAGAAGGCGGCCAATCGATGTTTCTCCCTGTATCTCTTCCTGTTCCTTCCTCTCTCTCTCTAAAAATCAATCAAAACATATATTTTTTTAAAAAAAGAAAGAAATGTAGAAACCAGGGCTCTAACGGGCTCTGCCCTTACCTGGGGTGCCCAGCTGGATTCAGCTGGCGGTTCTGCCCCACAGCTTTGGGTACAGCCCAGATTCTTTTATGCAGGAGAGATCTCCATCCTACAGCCTCAGATCTACCTCTCACTCAGCAGAGGACCACATGACGCTCCTCCGTTTCAGAGCCGGGGCTGAGACGGTGTGGACGGTCTGCACACCCCATCTGCGCCCCCAGAGAGGAAAGAGCTCTCAAATCATTATTAAGCACCTACTTGCTTCGTGTGAGGCTGGCTGCCCACGCAGGGACACACAGGTCAGTAAAACATGAACCCTACCCTCAGAGAACACGTGGAAATTTCCCCAATTTTCTCTTTAAACACGGCAACCAACCATCCTGTTTGCCTGAGCCTGGGGTTTCCCTAGATGGGCGATATCCAGTTTTAACACCAGGAAAATTCCTAGCAGATCAGGATGGGTTTGTCATTCCACTAAGAGAACAGGAAGACATATCACTGTGTGTTTTGAAAAAGAAAATACATGCACCCCCGTCTGTGGACCCTCTGTCTGAATAAACACATGGCTTTTGTTCACCTTCTGCCTGTGCCCCACAACCACGGAGGCCACATGAGTCACCAGCTGAGCAATAAGCTTGAAACTGCCATCCTGAGCACCGAGGTCCCTAAGGGTTCCAAGGTGAATACGACAACACGGAGAGACAGGCTCAGAGGAAGACCTTCCAGAAGCCCTGATGATGGGAGAGAGACGAGAACAAGGAGACCTCAGAGGTGGAGTGTTCTGGGAGGAACAGGCGTCCCCTGGGAGCGCCATCGGCTCTTCTCTCCTCTCTCTGGACTCCTCACCGCCATCCCATCATTCTTCCCAATGACACCTGACCCTTCTACAGCGGACAGCAGGGACGAATGCTCGGCCTGGCCACCCCTGCACAGCCCCTCCATCCTCCTGCAGGTGGCCCTGGCAGCATTGTTCTAAGGCTCTTGGACCCTCTCCCCGTCTCTGCTGCCCTGCACCCAGGCAGCTGGGCGGAGCTCAATAAGGCAGACACACCAGAGGGAGCCCGTTTCCTCGCAAGACAGGTGCTGCCGTCTCGGAGAAGCCTGCGAACACTCAGGTGGAAGCCAGTGTGGCGACCGCATCTGGAGGGTTTCCCAAAGCCCTGGGAAGGAATCCTGGGGAACGAGAAAGAACAGAGCCAGACAAACAGCTTTCTTTTCTTTTTTATGTTTGCTGCTGAATGGCACCCTTGTTTAAAACCCTTTGGGTGTGTGTTCAGTTTCCAGGACAATGCCTATGGCCAAGCCAAAATGTGCACTGAGACTCGTTGTCAGCCACAGAGGTGCTGCCGGAGGCTGGGGGGACCACACAAAGCTGAGCACGCCGTGGTGCCCGGTCGGTGCTGTTTGCCCCTGTTGGCGCGGACATCCAGATGGGGAGCTCTCTACTCAAGGTTTGAAAACCCTTAAAAGAGGTGATTCTAGGGAAACAAGCAGAGAACGTTTGCATAGATGAGCTGGGTCTGATTTCAGAGACAGACACCATCCTTCACTGCTGCCATCGTTTGCTGAGCCAAGAACAAGTACCTGCTGTTGGGCAGTTGAGACACGACAGGGTCCTCTGAGAAAGCACAGATGCCCCAAATCATATTAACGCTTAAGCTGATTTAAAATTCACATTAGCTCGGTTTAAGTGTGTCACTAGACTAACATTTTTTACTTCTATTTTCATTTTGAGGTTGAAACGGGAACGGTTGTGAAAACAAGCATGAAATTAATTTCTCTGCAATCTCTCAGTAGGAATATGACATCAAGCTCATTGATTGCACGGAGGTCTATCTGGCTCAGTAAGAACTGAGTGTCAGGCGCTGCATTAATCCTGCGGAAGGGTGAATGTCCTAGTAAAATAAGCACCCCATTTCATTTGTATTCCCTGTTTAGTTGTCTGTATTCATGGCAGAGTGCCAAATTTCATGAGACTAGGGATCAAATCTGCCTGTACCTCCTCTGCCTTGCACAGTGCCCTGAAAGCACATAGTAACCGCTAAATAAACACTTGTTAAATGAATGAGCATAATTCATATGAGGCAGGATTTCCACCCTAACAATGCAGGAGGGTTTCCTTTACTCCACATCGTTGCCAACTCTTGTTGTTGTTGTTGTTTACTCTTTCAAATCATTTTAATAACCTGGCAGTGAATCCAAATATGAAAAGAAGACTCAAACTTGTTCCCTTTAAGGTGGATGATGCTACCATGATTGCTTCGCACCAAGCATGATCAAAGGTAATGATGACACCGGATTCCAAAGAGCAAGGGTGGTAAGAAGGCTTCCACGCTCACAAACTGAAGAGCGTGGTTTTGGAAAGTCTCAGCGGGGTAGCAGGTGGCAGGAAAAACATGAACTCTAAGGGACCCTCAGAGTACAGGGCGCGGTTGCTGGGTCATCAGCACCTTGAAACGTTTCTTGATGGTGATTCGGTGTCGAGAGTATTTGTTGTCTGGCGAGAACCGAGCAGGATGGACTGAACAGGTCTGTTGTCCCATAGGATTAAACTTCTTCAGGGTATAGACCCGGTCTCCCTGTTCATTGAGGTAATACTGGAGAAACATGGTCACGCTGATGCAGAAGGTTCCAAATCCATCTGCAACCTTGTTGTTTGTTGATTTATTGATGATAGGGATTCTGACATGTGTGAGGTGTTATCTCATTGTGGTTTTAATTTTCATCTCTCTGATGTTTATTGACAGTCAGCATCTTTTTATTTGTTGAGTCACTATATGTATGTCCTTTTTAAAGAAGTGTCTCTTCAGGTCCTCTGCCCAATTTTAAATTGGATTGTTTGTTTGTGTTTTTTTTTGTTTTGGCGTTGAGTTGTATGAGTTCTTTATAAATTTTGGATACTAACCCTTCATTGGATATATTACTGGTGAATATCTTCAGTCATTCAGTAGGTTGTCTTTACATTTTATTGATGGTGTCCTTTGCTGTGTAAAATCTTTTTAGCTTGATGTAGATACTTTTACTTATTTTTTCTTTTGCCTTTCTTATCTGAGGAGATATATCAAAACAATATATTGCTAAGAGAAATGTCAGAGTTTACTGCCTATGTTTCCTTCTAGGAGTTTTATGGTTTAAGTCTTACATTTAAGTCTTTACTCCACTTTGAGTTTACTGTATATGGTGTAAAAAGATGGTCTAGTTCCCTCCTTCCTTCCTTCCTTCCTTCCTTCCTTCCTTCCTTCCTTCCTTCCTTCCTTCCTTTCGTTTTTGCATATATTTGTCCAATTTTCCCAACACCATTTAATAAATAGGCTGTCTTTTCCCCATTGTATGTTCTTGCCTCCTTAGTCATATATTAGTTGACCATGTATGTGTGGGGTTTTTATGTCAATACCATGCTGTTTTGATTACTATAGCTTTGTACAATAGTTTGATATCAGGTAGTGTTATACCTCCAACTTTGTACTTTTTCTCAAGGTTGCCATGGCTATCTGAAATATTTTGAGGTTCCATATAAATTTGGGGGTTATTTGTTCTAGTTCTGTGAAATATACCATTGGTATCTTGATAGGAATTGTGTTTAATGAGTAGATTGCTCTGGATAGTATGGACATTTTAAGGATGTTAATTCTTCCTATCCATGAGCATGGTACATGCTTCCATTTACTTGTATCTTCTTCAATTTCTTTCTTCAGTATCTTATAATTTTCCAAGCACAGGTCTTTTACCTTTTTGGTTAAATATATTCCCAGGTATTTTATTTATTTTTATGTAAATGTAAATGGAATTGTTTTCTTAGTTTCCCTTTCTAAATAGTTCATTTTTGATTATATACAAATACAACTGATTTCTGAATATTTATTCTGTATCCTGCTACTTTACTGAATTTACTTATCAGTTCTAGTAGTTTTTGGTGGAATCCTTGTGGTTCTCTCTATATAGTATCATGTCATCTACAAATAATGAGTTTTAGTTCTCCTTTCCAATTTGGATTCCTCTTATTTCTTCTTGTCTGGTTGTTGTGGTTTGAATTTTTAATACTATATTGAATAAGAGTGGTGAAAGTGGGTATGCCTGTCTTGTTCCTGATCTTGAGGAAAATGCATTTAGCTTTCTCCTGTTGAGTATGATGTTAGATGTGGTTTGTCATATATGGTCTTTATTGTCTTTATTAAATGAGTTTGGGAGTTTTCCTCCTTGAGACGTTTTTGGAATAGTTTGAGAAGGATAAATAGTTAGTTCTTTGAATGCTTGGCTTCATTTGTAAAGCCATCTAGTCCAGAACTTTGTTTGTTAGGAGTTTCTTTTATTACTGCTTTAATATCATTGGTTGTAATGTTTCTTCTTGATTCAGTCTTAAAAGATTGTATGTTTCTAGGAATTTATCCATTTTTCCAGATTGTCCAATTTTGGGCATATATTTTTATAATATTTTCTTATAATCCCTTGTATTTTCGTGGTATGAGTTGTCATTTCTCTTTTATTTCTAATCTTATTTATTTGGGCGTTCTCTCTCTCTCTCTCTCTCTCTCTCTCTCGATGAATCTGGTTAAAGTTTTATCAATCTTATTTATTTTTCCGAAGAACTAGCTCTTGAGGGATGGGGAATGGGGGACATCTTTAATAATGTCAACAATAAACAAAAAAGAATCAGCTCTTGATTTCAATAATCTTTTGTATAGTTTATTTTAGACTCTATTTTGTTTATTTCTGCTCTAATCTTTATTATTCCCTTCCTTCTACTCACTTTGGGCTTTCTTTTTTGTTCTTTTACTAGTTCCTTTAGGTGTAAAGTTATATTGTTTATTTGATATTTTTCTTATTTCTGGAGGTAAGCCTGTAGTGCTATGAATTTCTCTCTTAAAAATGCTTTGCTGTGTCCCATAGATTTTTGTGTTGTTGCATTTTCATTTTCATTTGTCTCAAGATATCTTTTGATTTTTTTTTATCTCATTGTTAACCTATTCATTGTTTAGTAGTATGTTATTTAGTCTTTGTGTTTGTGTGATTTTCAGTTTCTCTTATTGATTGTGTTGGTGTTTTCAGTTTTTTTCTTATTGATTTCTTGTTTCATGCCATTGTGGTCAAAGAAGATGCTTGATATTATTTCTGTCTTAAATTTATTGAAGCTTGACCTAGCTGTTTGGCTCAGCGATTACAGTGTCAGCCCATGGACCAAAGGGTTGTATCTGGGTTGAAGGTTCAATCCCCCACCCCAGTCAGGATTGTGCAGAAAGCAATTAATCAATATGCTTCTCTCACACTGATGTTTCTCTCTCTCCCTCCCTGTACTCCTCCCTCTCTTCCTATCTAAAATCAGTGGGGGAAAAATATATCCTCAGGTGAGGATTATCAAAAAAAAAAAAAAAAGAGTGTATTGAGGCTTGTTTTGTGTCCTAGCATGTGGTCTATTCTGGAACATGTTTCATGTGCACTTTAAAAAAATGCATATTCTGCTGCGTTGTGGTGAAATGCTCCAGAATTATCAAGTAAATTCATCTGGTCTAATGTGTCATTTAAGTTCCTTCCTTGTTGATTTCTGTCTGGAAGATTTACCCATTGATGTCAAAGTCTCCTACTATGACTGTTTTACTGTCATTCTCGCTCTTTTTGTCCATCAATATTTGTTTTACTTATTTAGGTGCTCCCATTTTGGGTGCATAAATGTTTACAAAGATTATATCCTCTTGTTGAATTGATCCCTTTATTATTATGCAATGTTCTTTTTTGTCTCTTACTACAGCTTTTGTTTTAAAGTCTATTTTGTCTGAAATAGGTATTGCTACCCCAGCGTTTTTGTGTTTGTTTTCATTTGTACAAAATATTTTTCGGGTATGGCAATGACTTTTTAGATCCAACACCAAAGAAACAATCTATGAAAGAAATAATTAAAAAGTTGGACTTCATTGAATCTAAAAATGTCTGCTCTACAAAAGATATCAAGAAAATAAGACAAACCACAGATTGAGAGACAATATTTGCAAAACACATACATGATCAAGATCTGTTATACAAAATATACAAATAACTTCAACAATAAGGAAACAAGCAACTTGACTTAAAAATTGGCAAAACAAACAAACGAACAAAAACCCTGAACAGACAATGATATACAAATATGTACCCATTAGGATGGTCCAAATCCAACATTGACAATATCAAATGTTGACAAGGATGTGGATCAATAGGAATTCTTTTTTTTTTTCCTCACCCGAGGACATTTTTCCATTTTTTGTTTAGATAGAGCGGGAGGGAGAGAGAGGAAGAGAGAGAGAGAGAAACATCGATGTGAAGGGACACATCAAGTGGCTGCCATCCGCACGACCAACCAGGGCCGGGGACAAACTGCAACCGAAGTACGTGCCCTTAGCGGGAACCGAACCCGGGTCTCTCTGTACCGCAGGCCGACGCTCCAACCGCTGAGCCAAACCGGCCAGGGCTAGGAACTCTTATTCATTGCTGATGAAAATGTAAAATGGTACCACCACTTTAAAGACAGTTTGGCAGTTTCTTACAGAACTGATCATACTCTTATCATACAACCCAGCAGTAGCACTTCCTGGTATTTACCGAAACGAATTGAAAATGTATGTCCACACAAAAACCTTCCCATGGATGTTCACAGCAACTTTATTCATAATTACTAAAACTTGGAAATAACCAAGACATTCTTCATTGAGGAAGGATACATAGGCAGAACCCAGAAGATTTTTAGGTCAAAGAAACTACTCTGTATGATACTAAAATGGTTAATACATGTCATTGCAGATTTGTCCAAACCCATAAAATGTACACCACCAAGAGTGAACCCGAATGTAAATACGGTTTTTGAATGATAATGATGATTCGATGAAGATTCATGAAGCATAACAAATACCACTCTCATGCTGGACTTTGGCAGTGGGGGAGGCTGTGCATATGTGGAGGTGGGAGGTATATGGGAAATCTCTGTATTTTTCACTCAATTTTACTATAAGCCTTAAAATTTTCTAAAAAATAAAGTTTGTTAAAAATATACATATTGAGAAAAGGATTAAAAGGCTTGATTATATAAAAATCAATCATTTCTAAAAAAAATCAATCATTTCTCTTCAGCAAGTATTACCATAAATAAAATGAAATATTTTTTATAACATTTCAAACATTTAAAATGAAAACATTTGAAAGTACAATGTTAACATTATAACATTCATTTTACTGTTCCAAATATAATCACCCTAACGTAAGTACCCCCATCCCACAACATTTGCTCCAATACAAACAGCTTACTGCAAACCACCACCATCAGCTAGTCCTCGGGTCTCCAGAGAGAGCAGCCAAGGACATTCGGCAGAATGCATAGTCCATCTATGCTGCTTTCTCAGTCCTGAAGGAGGTTTATGCCTCCCCTCCAGAGCCAGAGCACCCAGTGGTTTTCCCATCCTTGCTGGAAGGGCCTTTTACCAAGTGTTTTCACGGCAGTTTTTTTATTTTGGATTACAGGGATAGGTGTAGCTTTTCGCTGTAGGTAGCTAATAACTCCACTTGCATTCTGTCCACCTTCATCTTTTTTAATTTAACTTATTTTTAAAACAACGAAAGACCCAACCTGGAGGTGCACCAATTCACCAAAGGTGGAA